TGAAGCCTTGTTCTTTTTGACAATTATGGCCTGGAGGAATTGAGACATGATTTTTATTGCTTCTCTTTAAAAAAGTCTTGATGACCAAATGCCTATAAATGTTTCTGTGTTTTCATTTGCAAATATTTGACATTATAATTGTTATTCTTACTATTTTTGTTTGCGCTATTAAGAATATAACTTGGCCAATTCCACAGAGCCATAAAAGAACCATTTGCCAAGTACTGTTCTTCCATCAATGTCTTACATCCAAACTCACATCTCACATAGATTTACTATTATATATTTTCATATATACACTCACATTCACACATCTAATCAATCTGTTCTTATCTACCTATCTATCTGTTCATATGTATTTATTTATCTCACTCTTCATATATATCTATCTATCTCAATGTTCATATCTATCTCTCTCACTGTCCATATCTGTTTTCTATCTATCCTGTTCATATGTATTTATCTATCTATCTATCTATCTATCTCACTCTGTTCTTATCTACCTATCTATCTGTTCATATGTATTTATTTATCTCACTCTTCATATGTGTTTCTCTATCTCACTATCCATTTCTATCTATCTATCTATCTATCTATCTATCTATCTATCTATCTATCTATCTCACTCTGTTCTTATCTACCTATCTATCTGTTCATATGTATTTATTTATCTACCATATGTGTTTCATATCTCATATCCATTTCTATCTATCTATCTATCTATCTATCTATCTATCTATCTATCTCATGTTCTTATCTACCCATTCATCTGTTCATATGTATTTATTTATGTCATCTTCATATGTATCCATCCATTTCTATCTATCTATCTATCTATCTATCTATCTATCTATCTATCTCACTCTGTTCTTATCTATCTATCTGTTCATATGTATTTATTTATCTCACCTTCATATGTGTTTCTTATCATCCATTTCTATCTATCTATCTATCTATCTATCTGTATCTATCTATCTATTTACTCTGTTCTTATCTACATATCTATCTGTTCATATGTATTTATTTATCTCATCCTTCATATGTTCTCTTTCTCTTCTCTATCCATTTCTATCTATCTATCTATCTATTATCTATCTATCTATCTATCTATCTGTTCTTATCTACCCATCTATCTGTTCATATGTATTTATTTATCTCATCTTCATATGTGTTTTCTATCTCACTATCCCATTCTATCTATCTATCTATCTGTCTGTCTCAGTCTGTTCATATCTACTTATCTATCTCAGTCCATTCTGATCTAAGTAGTATCTATCTCTTCATCTTATTGTGCAATAGCTTTTGTTGTGCAATAGCTTAGTGTTGGTTCATGGATTTGTGAAATAGTAATTGTGAGTTCAATCCCTGGACTGGATAGTGCTTAGATTCAGTAGACACTGTGTGAGCAGTAACTGAGCAGCATGAATAAAAGAAAATGATTAAAGATTTATAGACATGGACAGTTGAATGAGAACAATATGAAAAACACCCTGATGATGGCCAGACAGAACAATGGCTTAAACATTGTGATAATGAAAACAATAGTCTGAATACAAATAATAATAAACAGTTAGATAGATCGAGAGATAAATATGAAGAGACTGATATATATATATATATATATATATATTACATGAATCTTTCATACAAAAAACAGATTAGTGAAGTTAATGATATAAATGGCGAGAATATATCTTTGCAAACAAATTTATTAGAATTACATTAACCCACGAACCTCTAGATAAACATTGTGATCCCTGTTTTTAATAAATTCAACTTGTATAAGGTCTTTTTTTGCAAGTACTTTCATCTGTTCCTACAGACATCATCAGTCATGGAAATTGATTTGTTTTTTTTTTTTAAATACATCCAGGTAATAACAGGACATGAAAGATTAGATGTGAATCGAAATATGTTTTTTTAGAAATGTCTTATTGTTAACAGTAAGAAATTCTGGAGCGTGTCGTCGCAACGCTAAGGTTCAATTTTTAAAAATTTAAAATGTATTTATATATATATATTATAAATTAATTGATTTAAAATATGGTTTTTCTGCTACACAGTTCTAACCATGTTTCAAAGATGGAAGGTTAGAACTGTGTAGTGGAAAAACCATATTTTAAATCAATTAATTTATAATATTAATGCTCTGTAAATTTACATTCAGCACTATTTTGTAAAAATAAAATATCTATAAGAACACTGGATTATATATCTTACTGTTCTTTTATTTTTTATTTATATATACATATATATGTATATATATATATATATATATATATATATATATATATATATATATATATATATATGGGCACATGGTCAAGTGGTTAGAATGTTCGCTTTTCTGACCAATTAATGACCCAGGTCGATTTGTCTGGAAGGCGACATCCTGATGTTATCAGACTAGATCGAGATTGGTCCCAACATGTGTCATCTTTGGGATAGTGAAAGATGACTTTGAAAAGCTAAGTAAGCTAGATAATAGGAAAAGTAAATTAAAAACAAAGAAAAGAGTACTGAAATCTTATGTGATATTAGTCCTCTTATATGGCTGCAAATGCTGAAGAATTTCCTAACAGATTAAGAAAAGACCTGAAGTGGCAGAAATTTGGTTGTAATTGGTTCTACAGAAGCATGCTGAGAATATTATGGGCTGAACATATGAGCAACAATAGGGTTTTAGAGAAAATGGAAACAAAAAGGACACATATAATTAAAATCAGAAAGAGATAGTTGAAATTTCTAAGGCTTATGATGGGGAAAGAGGACTTGTAAAATTTGAAACTGACAAGTCATATTGATGGCAAGAAGGGCAAAGGAAAACAATGAGTATGGTTGTCAGATAAGGGATTAGGAGAGATAGCAGAAGACAAAATTTACTAAAAGCTACAAAAGACAAGAAATTGTGGAGAGCCATAATCACTAACATCCTGAAAGGACACAGCCCATCAAAAAAGAATCATAATAATATTCTTTGAATTTATTTCAGAAAAGATCCTTGAAAATATACTACACAAAATGTTCTCTTGTATGAGCACTGAAGTTAAGCAATGTTGATGACTGACATCCATTAAACATGGCACATGGAACTAGAACAGTCTACCCCAGTGAGCGAAATAAAAGGTTCAGTTCGATATTCCAACCACCTGAAGAAGGCCAGAGCATACAACGGCTGAAACGTTGTAATAAATATGGTGACAAAGATGAGGACAATAGTCCAAATAATGTAAATAGTGTACAAAAAGGGGGTTGATCTGAAGAGTGACTCCTTGGGGATGCCTGCATTGACCTCTTGTGCTCTGGAGTACTGGGCATTGATAGCTACCATCAGGTAATTATCTGTTACGAAGGATTTTATGATCGAGAAGACTCTTCCAGTGATTCGATAACTAGAGAGCTTTTGTAATAAGCATTTGTGCCACATCTTGTCAAAACTTTGCTATGGTCCTCAAAGTGTTTTTGTTGTCAAGAGCCTCACTGATTCTGTCCTTGATGGTTGTTAGGACATTGGTAATGGATCAGGCCAACCAAAACCCATACTGCTCGTCCATTGAGGTCAATACCCAGCAGCAATAGTCGGTTTCATGGTTACACACAATTGTAAGGCCATGTGAATTGTTTTGCCTTGAATATTTATATATATGCTGGTCAGTGATGCATTATGGGTAGTTCTATTTTATTCTTTTAATGGTTATACCTACATACATCAAGGTCTGTAGAATTGTGATGTGAAAAGGATTTATTTCACACAATAAATATTTATTTTTCAACAAAATCTGCTTCTTTGTCAATGCACTTAATATGCTCACATCATCAATGAATTTTTCAGACAAATTTCTGCTGATATCTCAAAGATAAAGAAGAGTCTTGTAGCAGCAGAAATGATGAGCTGAACATGTGAGCAAAACAAGGTTTTGGAGAGAATGGAAACAAAAAGGAACTTATACTTAACCTCAGGAAGAGGCAGTTGAAATTTCTGGGAAACATAATTGAAGAAGGAGGGCTTGGAAAATCTGATACTCACAGGACAGATTGAGGGAAAGAGAGACAAAGGCAGAACAGGTTTTGGTAGAAATTGTTGCAGAGGAGAAGGCTTTTTAGTTACCGATCAGCTGCATGTGTAAATATGTTTTCATAGTGTCTGCCCACAAGGGGTCAAGATGTGATTTCTTTTACAGCTAAATTTTTGTAAGCGAGTGAAATCACAAAGAAAAAGAAGAGAAAGAATGAACTTGTGTCTGGTATTTATAATCAACGTAATCACGTGATTGGCTCGAAAAGAAAGAAGCGGGAAATTTTTGACTTGGTCATGCGCTGGAAAAAGACTTGTACATGGGTGGATTGCAACGCCCACTTGTGTGTTTATTGACCAATTAGAAGTTGAGGTTTTCTGAAAATATGTATGAAGCTGGATAAGCTCTCTGATCCGTTTTTTTCACAGATTTGTACAAAAATGATCTGCCTAAATCTGATGCTATGATTATATACTGGCGGGTGCAACTCTAAAATTTTCAATGGTCAGAGATTCGCAATGGAATTCTCTCCTGATCTTGCACAAAGTACTCAGTAGAGTAAAAACTGGCTGGTTACATTCATTGCCTGAAAAACCAAGTTTGTTACATTCCATCATCACTGATCTGAACCGAAACTACCACCAATCTGTATAAACAGAGGTCCTCTTGGAGAAGCACTGAGCCATAAAAGATTGTTGGGCCTCAAACTCACACCCGACCTCAAAAGAAACTTGTAAATACGAACCATTGCTAAGGATGCAGGTAAAACAGCCGGCTCTCTGTACTGCTCCAGTAAGTATCTGACCCCTCCTGATAACATTTAAATTTACAAGAGCCAAATTAGGCTAAAAATTGAGTACTGTTGTCATATCTGGGCAGAAGCCCAAATCTCACTCTCCAACTGTTGTGATGATATAACCCAACTTCCCCATTCACGATAATGGATGGACTGGTTGCCGATTTAGTATGACCACAGCGGACAATCGAAAAAGTCTTTGTTTGTTAACACCTATTGAGGTTAGCATACTCCCGACTCTGTCTCTGTACTTGACACACCTACATCCGATTATTAACCTATTATTGAAAACCAACACTCGGGTTACTTTGTTTATTATATCTTGCACGAGATATAACAGCTGGCGACGAGGATGAGATTTTCAGTCGTTTCGGGGTTCCCAGGACATTGGTTAGCGACAATGGTACGGCGTTCACAAGTATGGAGTTTAAGGATTTCTGTACTGCCTTAGACATTGAACACATAACTACACCAGTGTGTCATCCCAGGTCGAACGGTCAAGCCGAGAAATTTCTTGACACCTTTAAACGTGCTTTACGTAAAAATAAAGGTATTCAGAAGTTCTTAGCAATCTATAGGGTAACTCCTATTGAGAACAACGATGCGAAAATGTCACCGGTGGAAATTATGTTCGCAAGGAAAATTAGATCAATTTTCGATAGATTGTTACCCTATCAAAACAAAAAAAGTTGCTAAGAAAGAGGAAAAGTCAACATAAAAAAAATACACTTCAGAAGTCAAAGTTTTTTTTTTAAATTTTAAAAGTGGAAAAGCTATTGGATGGATGGCATAATCCAGAAAAGGATTGGTAAAGTGGTCTACATGATTAAAAGTAAAAATTTACATGTAAAAGACATATCAATCAGATTAGACCATGATATGGTGAAGAAAGTGAAAAAAGCGAAGAAGAAATTCCGATGGAAGTGTTATGCAATGCTTTTAACATGACACTACCCAATAGTGTATATGAACCTGTATCTCATGGACAAGCCTTACGGGCTGAAAAGCGGAAATTATCTTCACCAAAAAAGGATCTAATTGTGACGACGAAAAGAAGGAGCACATGGGAAAGAAAACCAGCGGAGCGTTTTAGCCCAGATCCAAAAAGAAGATGACATTAGCAGAAGCAGAAATTTTCAAAAGGGAGAATTTCAGCTTCACGGGGAGGTGTTGTGATGAGATAACCCAACTTCCCCATTCACGATAATGGACGGACTGGTTGCCGATTAAGTACGACCACAGTGGACAGTCAAAAAAGTCTTTGTTTGTTAACACCTATTGAGGTTAGCATACTCCCGACTCAGTCTCTGTATTTGACATGCCTACATCCGATTACAAACCTATTATTGAAAACCAACACTCGGGTTACTTTGTTTATTATATCTTACACGAGATATAACACCAACCTTGATAGAGTTCAAAAGCATCTCCAAGAACTTGTGGGTAACAAACAATTCTTGACCCTCCAGCCCTTCTCCCACAGGCAGGATGAGGCAAGCCTCTCACTGC